GTAGTAAATGTGATAGTGGTAACAGATTTCAGAGGAGGTAGAGAAATTGGATCTAAAAAAGCAAATATTAAGAGACATTTTCTCAGAGAATAAACAGTACAGGTAGTCCTTGACTTATGACCACGATAGGGACCGTAAAATTCATTATTAAGCAGTGCGGTTGTTAAGCAAGGCATCACATGACCACCCTATTTTACAATATTTTTTGCAGCTGTCGTTGAGCAAATCACTGTGGACGTTAAGTGAATCATGAGGTTCCCCATTGATTTGATTTTGCTTGTCAGAAGCCAGCTGGGAAGATCGCAAATGGCGCACATGACTCTGGGATGCTGCAAGCATCATAAATACATGCCAATTGCCAAGTGGCCAAATTTTGATCATGTGACCGCTGGGATGCTACGATGGTCATAAGTGCGAGGGCCAGTTGTAAGTCATTTTTTTCAGCACTGCTGTAACTTCAAATGGTTGTTAAACGAGTGGTCATAAGTTGAGGATTATCTGTAACCGACAGTGCAGTCCTATACAAGTTTGCTTGGAAGCAAATCCCACTGAGTCCACTGGTTTTTAAAGTAAATGTAAAATCTCTTTCAAGTTCAGTTTGATTTCTGGTGATTTGGCAATAATATGAAAACGGCTTGCTACTTCCCTTTTCCAGGGTGTTTATTTGATTTTTCAATCTAGCCTACAGTCCTGGTATTTCCTGATATTCTCCCATTTCAGTTCTAACTAGGTGTGACTCTAGCTTTTTAAAATCATCCAAAGTCAGCTAGATGCTGCCACCTGGAATTCATTGGAGAGTAAAGACACCCAAGTTGACCATGGCACTTGATTACTGTATCCAAGCCATTTTCTTGCAGTGTTATAGAAGTCATTTGCCACAGACTTCTTCTGGAAAAAGTTTTTGAGTTTCCAGTGTAGTTTATTGCTCTGGAAATCCTTGGTGGTCTATGACCCAGAAACTAACTAGGATAGTTAGCAGCTGAGATCAGTCAAGGTCATTCAGGTGCTGCCACGCCACTCTCATTAAAGTATACATAGAATTCAAGCCGAAGACAAAACCTACGTCCCTGTTTTTAGAAATGAATTGTTACTGCTTTATTGGGTCCTCTTAAATTAATCAGTTTTGCTTATAGCTTAATGCATTCCTATAACCAATTAAGGTTTATAGCATAGCCTATATTTCTAAAGGATTGATGTCTGATAAAATAATTATATTCAGAGTTTGAAAAATGTCAAGATTTCTAGAATCCAGTATCAGACTTTTAAATGCTTTGGAGTCTTATATTTCTACACTCTTAAGACAACAAACTACTGTGGTGTACCAATATTGTAGGAGAAAGCCATGTTAGTTTATGGTTGCCAAAAATCAGAAGGAGTCTGGTACCATCTTTTCTGACTAACAAATGTTATTAAAAGGCATAAGCTTTCATGAGCCACAGCTCACTTCATCAAATGCATGGAGCAGCTAAACTGAAGTAGGATTTAAATTGGGATGAGGTGGGGGGCTTTCTTAGGGACTGGGTGGCAGGCTCATACTTAAGTACAGGCAGTCCCCGGGTTAAGAGCGCCCGGTTTACAGACGACCCTTAGTTAAGAATGGAGCCTATTGTAGCAAAATTTGAGTTAAATGTACGATGATTCGAGTTAAATGCACAATGGTTCGAGTTCATTACACAATACTATTTACTGTACAGTATACAATAATACTGTTCCAGCTTACATACAGATTCGGAACAGAACTCATTCTTAAACTGGAGACTACCTGTATAGACAGTCCAGTCTGAAGCAGATTCTTACAGGCAAGAAGAACCACAAGACAATGATGCTAACATGGGAACCAGACCCTGCAACAAACCCAGATGACTATTTTGTCCCCACATCTATACCAACAGCAGCATCACAGGCCCCAACAAGAATTAACGGATACAAGTTTAACATCAGGACTCAGAATAAGGTTGAAATAATATCAGGATATTTCAACGGTCAAGGACATTCTGTTGAAGATTTCAAAATGATCATTTGGGAAAAATGAAATTTTAACTGCACGATTCAGTGAGAATTACATGATTTTAGAATCCTTGCAAGCTTTTATTTTCAGCCTGAGTTATCTGGCAGAATAGTAAATAACCTCCTACTAGTATCAGTAAAATGAATGTACAAGCAAGTATGCCTGGATACATAATTCTAGCTTCATGTCCCTAGATATACCTTTTCCTAAATGCAGAAAACCTGGTTCTTCTAGATGTTGCCTTGTTTTCTGAGTGTCTTGTTTTCCTCTAATCTACATGCCTTTTGTATGTACAATCCGACCATTCAGAGTTGGCCAGTTAAAATTCAGTCAGGCAGATGGCAGTGGTAATAACTTGTTCTTGATTTATTGTCTTTTCTAGGAAGTCACTGAACCCTCCACTGCCTTCCTTTTGCTTTCCTCTTTTTCTACTATCTACCGATAAAACAGACATTCCAAGCTTATTTTCACTCTACAATATGGGGGAGGAATGGCTTATGGTGTCCACTGACGCAAGTAGAAAGAAAGGCGTTCCTGTGTTTATGGTGTGGCTCGTTTCCTTCTATCCAAGGTTTTTGCTCTGTAACAAACTAAAACTGCAGTGTGTCACAAAAACAACTTTTCTTAAAACCTTGCCTAAAAACCTAAATTGAACTACGTCCTGTAGTAGCTAGCTACTCTGCAGCATATATCAGCTTCATTCCTTATCGGCAACAGTTTATGTGACTGGAAAGGTTGAAAGTATTTGGAACTCAGTCATCAGATGTCTTTTAAATCTTTAATTCTACTTTAAAGGGAAATTATTTAGGGTTTTAAATAACATTGCCAACATAAAATCCTTTTTCTCTTGAGATCATCTTTGACTTAACTGTCACTATGCTTTTTTTCTCTCTCCAATATTTCTTTGTCACCATATATACCACTTTAAGATTTGTGTGTGTGTGTGAGTGACCTGTTGGCAACCTTTGAATTTTATTTCTATATATGTATGTGTGTGTGTGTGTGTGTGTGTGTGTGTGTGTG